CCTCCATTGGTCCCTGGATGCTCCACAGCCGTGTGAGCTTCTCCGGGCTCCCCCTTTTCCAGCCCATCCTCAAGACTCGCCTTGAAAACACTTACAAGATGCGGCCGGATGAAGGCTGCAAGTTCGATGCGGGGCGGGTGCAGCGGGTCCTCCATTGGTCCCTGGATGCTCCACAGCCGTGTGAGCTTCTCCGGGCTCCCCCTTTTCCAGCCCATCCTCAAGACTCGCCTTGAAAACACTTACAAGATGCGGCCGGATGAAGGCTGCAAGTTCGATGCGGGGCGGGTGCAGCGGGTGCTGGAGGGGGACCTGGCCAGGGTCCAGTGCCCTGGGGACCATGGTCTACAGCCCCCAGGGCAGTGCCCCGCTAGCCCAGAGCCTGGCCGAGCTGCTGCAGAGCCAGGCGAAGGAGGTGGTGCCACCCCGCTATAAGCTGGTCTGCCATGTGCTGCTGGGCCAGCAGGGCCAGCAGAGCCTGCTGGTGGCCAGCCGGGCGCTGTGGGACCCTGAAAGCGACAGCTTTGCCTCCGCCACCTTCTCCAATGCCTCCCTCTTTGCTGTGGCCACAGTGCATGGGGTTTACTTTGAGTAGCACTTGCCCTTCCCTTCACCAAGCCTTAAAGAGCTGCAGGGGGAGAGCAGCTGAAAATAAAGATGTTTACTCCAGCTGTGGCTCATACCTGGAGTCTTAGGCCATGGTCTGTGCAGGGAACAAGATATTGATGCACCTTGGTGGCCTGATGCTCACTACAGCCCCCAGCCATGCTGTAGCTTCCGCTGCCACAGTTTGCAAAAAGACCCAAGCTGCAGCAAATACAACCCAGAAGGCTGCGTTACCCTGAAGCAGGCAGCTGCCCAAGGCCACGCTACGGGGCCCAGCCCAAGCTGCAAGATTGATTACACCAGCACTAGGGAAGGAGGTGACAGATCACCTTCAAAGCAAGCTCATGGAGCAGATTAAGTCCCTCCTCTTTCCTAGCTTAATTCCCAGCTCATATCCCATGACACCAGGTCTCATAGTGCAAGGGCCCAGACAACTCACTCCCTTGGGGGACAGCCCCTGCCTTCTCCAGGCATGAGAGCAGCTGGGTTTGGTCCAACTGCATACAGTTGGGAATGAGAGTTTGGCAGCAGCAAAGAGAAGCTGAGGCAGCTCCAGGGCTCCATAGGCATCAAGCAAGAGCTAAGTCCCAGGAATGGCAATGGAGGCACCACATTGGCTGCTCCCCCCATCCTGCCTCCCTGACCTTGTCCCCCAGCAATAGCCAGTGTCAAGCAGGCAGAAGCAGCCCTAGAGCAAGGGTGATGGGGAAGCTGAAGCCCTTTTGTGACCCCAGCTCCAAGCAAGGCAGACAGTTTGCCCTTACACAAATAAATTTTTATTGAGGTGAGTCAAGGACAGGGGGGCTGCACATGGACAGATCAACAGGAAAATAAATAATTCCATATAAATAAGATACATAAATAGTCCCACATGGCAGAAACTGCCTTGAAACAAGAAACCTACCCAGGTCCCAGCAAGATGAGAGCTTTTCCAGGCAAGCCCTCAGATCCCCTCCCTCCCTTATCAAACCTCAAGTTGTACCAGACAATTCACAATTTGGGAGCAGACAGGACACAGCTGGGCCCAGCACAGTCCCCTCCTTAGTGTAGCAGTTGTGGAGCAGCACGCACCAGCCCACACAGCCCCGGCAGGGCAGACAGCACCCTTCACCCCTGTGCACACCTGGAAAGGAGTTTTCCCTACTCCACAGCAGCCAAGCCTCAAGGTCAAGGCTGTGCCGGTCCTCTCCAGGCCATGGAGAGGGTCTGTGCAACTAGTGCATCACCTTGGGCAGGACAGCCCGAGTCCCCACTGCAGGCAGCTGCTGGCCAGGGCAGGCTGGAGCACCAGGCCACAAACAAGGCACAGCCAGCCCCAAACCTGGCTGCAGGACACTCACCCACCACCACCTCCCTGTGCCACTCTAGTCCAACTCCACCAAGACCAGCACAACCAGAGCAGGAGCTGCTAGTGGAAAGATGATTGCCCAAAGCCAGGGAGCAGCAAGGATGTCCATGTCCAGACTTGCTGCTGTAACCACATCCACATGTCTTAGTCCAGAGTCCAGCTGAGCACCACGATACAAGGTGCCCAGGTGGGCAGCCAGCACCACAACACACCTCCCATCCCATGGGAGGGCAGGGGGAAACCTCTATGTCCTGAGAGGGTCCCCCAAGGTCCCATGCTAGGCCTCAGCCCGTTCTTGAAGGAGCTTGAGGATGTATCTGAGGCGGTGGTGGAGCTCAGGAGAGCAGCCCAGCTCCTGGATGCTGCACAGCTTGTACGTGTAGGAGTTGCGCTCCCGGTTGATGTAGGTGACAAGGCAGGAGTGGTCAGGCTTGCTAATGATCACCTTGGTGTGGTCATTGTAGAAGTTCACCTAGGAGACAGGTTGAGCTTGGTTTAACCCACGCTTCCCACAGCATGCCAGGAGCCAGGATGGAGCCACACTTCCTGCCTCAACCCGTTTCTCCTCCCCGACCTGCCCAGGAACATCTCTGCTCCATGCCCCATGGTAGGAACACACCAGCCCCAGCACTGGGACAGTCGGAAACAGCTGACTCCAGGCACTAGAGCAGCATCCTGTCCCCACAGCTGTTGTCACAACTGGACACATTTGGACTGTGGCAGACAAGACCTAACACAGGCCAGGAGTCCCCAGCTGGCCTCCTCCCCACAGGGGTCTGGGCATGTTCACTGTGCCAAACATACCTGGAGGGTGCCATTGCTGAAGAGCATGAGCAGGGCTTGGTCGGTCTTCACCCACTGCAGGAGCAGCAGGGCTGGCTGCCCGAGGTCATCTATGCTGGGCAAGTCACCTCCCTTGGAGAAAAGGGTCTGCATAAGCCACTGGTCCCATACATGGGAGCACTGCCACCAGCATACACGTAGCCAAACCTGGACACATCCCCAGCGGGGTCCCCACTCCCAGGATACAACTCCCTGAGTGTCCACCTGGCCAGAGCCTGTGAGCAGGGAACCCCATAACCCCAAGCAGTGTGGTCAAACCATGACCCGACATGTCTACCCATGATGTCAGCCCAGGGCCCCAGCACCCACCTTCATGAGATGCTGCTCCATGTAGGATGCAAAGTAGCGCAAGACACTCATCTGTCCCTGCAGCTGCTCGGGGATGGCGGCCACAGAGAACACAAGGTGTTTGCTGTTGGTTGGGTTGTAATGCACAGTCCTGGGAGGGAGCGGACCATGAGTTTTGGGACCACCCAGCACCAAAACCACCCCAGCACAGCCTCCCCTTACCCCTTCCCACCCAAGGAGCTTCTCCAGAGAGACCAGCCCCTTCCTCACTGCTTACCTGTGGTTGGGGGAAAGCATCATGTGCGTGCCATTGTTGAAGAGGACTCCAATGCTGCGGTTGGAGAGCTGGTAGCCAAAGCCATACTTGTTGGAGTAATCCACCCACTTGCTCACCCAGACAAAGTGCTCATGGCGGGCCAGGGAAGCTGGGTTTTTCTCCGCTGGTAGAGAGGAGAGGGGGTGAGCAGAGCAGGCAGCCAGCCTGCATCCACCTCACCTCCCCAGGAGGGAGCAGATCCCCCCCCCCCAGCAGGCTCTGGCAGTGTTTAAAGTACCCCAAAGAGGAGCCATGCCTTCATCCCATGGGGAAGGGGATGCACAGCACCCTGTCCCATCCCAGAGCAGTCCAACCAGTTTACCTAGGGGCATGGAGGAGAGGCAGGTCCGCAGGAGCCGGACAGCTGACTCGATGATGGCAGAGGCAGTGATGCAGTCTTCAAAGGCTGTGGAGAGAAGATGACAGGCTGAGTCAGTCGGCCCCACTATCAGCCAGGGCAGGACAGGAAGCTTTGGACAGGCTGGAGTGGCCTGGACAAGTATTGCTCACCCTCACAGCTGCTGGCTGTTGTCGCCCGGATGGAGGGGGACACAGACTTGTGAGATGTCTCCTCTACCACAGTCTCCACGGGGCTAGAGCTGGCACTGCGGCACGATATAGGGGTGGCCTGTGGAGAGACCTGGCTTTATCACTGTCCTACCTGCTCCCCTGAGCAGGGGCGTTCACAGGCTTAGGGATGTTCTCACCTCATTCCCTTCCACAGTTTTATAGCTCATCTGTCGGCAGATCGAGGTCTTCATCAGCCCAGTGACCAGCTTGGAGATGTCATCCTTGTCCTCTAAAGACCCCTTCTTGGCTGAGGAGAGAGCAAGTGATGAGCACACTGCTGGGCACAGGGGATGGGGACATCTAGGCCACCCCTCCCAGTAGCTCAGCTCTCCCTCTTCTCCCATGCCCATGGTGGTGATGAGGATGGTGTCAGGCAGCTGCCTCCCACTTTCACTTCCCAGTTCTCATGCAACACAGGGCTTTCAGGAAGAACTGCACCCGTGGGTTGCAGCATAGCATCTGCTCTCCAGTGCACACCCATGCCAGGCCACCAGCACAAGAAGGGCAAGGGGTCCAGAGACCCATCAGGCTGTCTCTCCAGGAGATGGAACCCACTTCTCCCTGGAGGAAGGGTCATCCAGAGACTCCTGGGCAAGCGCATGGACTCACCCTTGGGTTTCTTCTTCCCAAAGAGCGTCTTAGTGACTTTAGCGAACAGACTCTTTGCTGGGTTGGGGGGACTCAGCTCTGGAGCCATCACACAGCTGCTGGGAGGAAGCTTCTCAGGCGTGTAGCCCTGCAGAGAGGTCAAGGCAGAGGTTTTGTTTCCATAGCCCACATGCTCCAGGCAGAGCAGCTGCCCTGATCTGACTGCAGTCACTCACAGCCCTCCTGACAGCCAGCTTGCATTTCTGTCAAGCCTTGGCCCCACAACCGGCACTCAGTATGGGAAACAGCCCATGCTATAGGGACAAGGTGGCAGTAGCACACCAGATCCCTCAGTTCCCCTGGCTGGCATTCGGGCAGGACAGCAACTGCTTCTTTTGAAGGACTGAGACTTGGGCTCCAAGGACAGCACCCTGCACAGCCCAAAAAGCCTCATCCCACCTAGAGGAGGGTGAAGGCCACACTCCAACCCACTCACCTTGAAGAACTCATGATCCAAGATCTCCTCGAGCGTGAGGCGGTCCTGCGGGTTGCGTCTGAGGATGCCTGCAATGAGGTGCTTGGCAGGCAAGGAGAGAAAGACAGGGAGGGTGTACTCCACCTGCTTGATACACCTGTAGGTCTCCTTGAGGTCGGAGGTCTCGAAGGGAGGGTTCCCACACAGCAGGGTGTACCTGGGAGGGGGATACACATGCCATCGTCACATCCCCACCAGGCCTGTGACTCAGCAGCACTTAAAGCAAGGAAGTTATTGGCATTTGGCCGGCCACACCTGGCTGGGAGCACTACTTCCAGCCCGGGCGGCCGTGCTCACATCCGGCCACGCTTCCTCCTAGCAACTGTTTAGAGCAACAAGCGAGGAGCCCTAGGAAACGGAGAGGGCTGGCAGGAGAAGGCCACTCCACTGCTGCTGCTCCCACCCCCTGCACGGCTGACAGGGCGGAAAGCAGAGCAGGAAGCTTGCGGGCAGCGGCCGGGCAAGGGGCTGGATGCACCGAAGCAGCGCGCCTGCCACCAG